CTGATGTCTGAAGATTGTGAGACACTAATTTTTACATTTTAACTGAGATATCTATACAGTAGACAGGAGTGGGGCTGTCAGCAGAGATGTTCCCTAACCTGTTTGGATGTCCTTTAAACAATAGTAACTGGAAAGTTTTGACCAGAAGAGCGGTTAACTTTTCCTGAAGGCTGCTTTCAGCCACAGTCCATGATTTTGCAGCAAAGATTGTAACTCTCACAGGATTTTAGACAATGGTAGAGTTTCAAGAAGGAAAATAATATTAAAATCTCTTCAGGTGCAGCTGCTGTTATTATCAGCTACCAGCACTGGCTTCAAACAAGCAGGGGCACAAAGAAAACACCACACACTATTGTCAGCAACACTAATGCTCAGTGTCTCAGTTTTGTAGCTGCTTAGATATGATGAAAACAAATCTTTAATAGCTGCTGCTTCCACCATTGCACTGCACTCTGTTTTCTATTCAGTTGCAAGGACAGCTCATTTCCAGCAAAGGGGAACAATGTGCTCATATTGCTAATTCACGCCACTACACACAAATGTTCAGATTATGTTGTGCAGAACCAAATTCCAGCCTCATTCATGAGTGCAACTTGCACTTCAATCCAGTTCCCTAGCAAGAAGCAGGGAGCTCTGCAGCAAAGCTTGTGACAAATTAAAACCTGAAAGAGGCAATGAAAGAACATCTGATAGATTTTATTATTTTTTATAAGGTTTGAAAAGCAGACCTGGACATATAGCAGAGGATGGAACCTAGGGGAACTAGTGTCAGAGATGATTTGATGGCAAATGATTTGTCAGGAGGTTGGCATCCACAGAGTGCTGCACAAATTTCACTTAATCTACTGCCTCCCTGTTTTGGTTTGTGGTGATATGTATTTGCAGACAGGATATTTTGATATAGAGAATTTGGGGGTTGATAATTTAAAGACTAAAGTAGAGTGCAGACTAATCTTGGGGAAATGCAAGGTAAAAAGATGTGTTAACTGCTGCTGAGAGCAGGGGCTAGGCATCTCAAGTGGTTGGTACAGCCTTTTTGTGGTCTCCAGTGGTCTCTGCTCCTGGGGCATCAGGAGCCCACCCACAGGCCAGGGGCACTTGGGCTCAAATCTAAGCTGAGATCCTGCCCAATCACTTGGCAGTCTGGGGAGCTGCCTACCCATCCCACAGTGCTGTCTACCTTTGCTAATTCTCTTCCTGAGTTACCACCAGCGCCTGGCACTCCAGGGATATGTGGGAGGCTGAAGAAGCCCACTTTGGCAGGGAATATTTATCTTAGGGAAAATTACACCATCTCTGCCTGTGTTTTCATTCACCTTCTGTGACTGCATG